CCCCGTAACAGCCAATGAGATTTTGCAACGTGGAACCCCAACAGAGAATCTAGGAAACAGTGGAATCCAATAGTATATTGCCACGTGTCCGACACTATAAAAGCCTTCGTACACACCACTCGCATTAACGTACGCCACCGCAAAAATTCAAATCCCGCTAACGCTAATACAAAAACTCAGAGAAACAAAACGCGCTGGAAATATTATCTGACTCCCTCGGTTCCATTTTTAGAGTTCTTCGTTTTGTTTTTCGTTTTCTCAAAATCCAAAAGAGTTTTCAAGAAACAAGAGAATTATCGGAAGGAAGAAGATTTGACGTTGCGTGTGGATTTTCCGCGACTCGTTTGTGCATGGCAGCACATGCCCATCGCAATCGTAGCAGAAATGTTATCGTCCGTGTCGTTCCCAGTCCTCACCGGTTCATTGATTTCCCTGCTTTGAACCCAAAAATCTCTTTCCTGGATCACTCGTTTCGGGCGATAAACCCCTGCTTTTCTGAACCTCAAAATCGGTTTCTGTTTCCGTATAATCCACCCCTAGACATTCCTCCAACTGGCCTCCCTCCGAATTTTTCTGTGTTGATTCGAATGGAAGAGGAAAGCTCACTCTCTTTTCTTCAGGTAAGTAAATTAGGTTAGTATATATGTTATGTATTCCCTTTCAATGGTGGTGGTTGATGGTTTTGGTTCTATATTATGATTTGCGTAATTTACCCTGTTATGATATTATTTTGTACTAATATGATTTTGGTTCTAGAAAATGCAACAGGTGAATATCTTAATTTTCTACATTATGCTTGTGGTTGAAAATAATTAAGTTGTTGGTTTTAAATTTTGTAGTTTATTGATAATGAACGATTGGTTCCATCTTCGGAAGAGGAAGAGAAGAGGAGAGCTGTCATTGAGAAGCTTAAGAAGGTTTTCCAATGTTTTAATTTTTGTCCCATTTTTAATTTTGATGTGCTTCTCATGGAGATATGGAGACTGTTACATTGTCCACGAGATATAACGGTTATTTAATTTTAGCTACGATTTGCTTATGACATTTGTATGGAAGCTTGTGATGCTATATCTTACTTCCAGGTCTTTTGAGTTGGAATCTCTAAATGCGAGCTTTTGTTTATGATAGATTTATTTATGTCTTTCAATGTCAGTCAGGTTTATCAAGGTTTGAAATGGTTGTTAATTATCTTGTAAGGTCCCTGTTTTCATTGTTCTTATAAGATTTGCCAGCAGAAACAGAGTTTTTAAGCTTTTACTTGTCATATCTTCATGCAGATAGTGTTGAAATGGGTAAAGAAGGTTGCTTGGCAACACCGACTTCCAAAACAACAAATTGCAGCCACTAGTGCAACAATATTAACATATGGATCTTATGGCCTCGGAGTAATAATCCTTTACCTACCCTGTTCTCCTTTTAGAAGATTTCTAGTGCTTGAGCTCATTCCACACACCTAAGCACATAGATCGATAGCTAAATAAATAATTTGTTGGGTATCGTTTTACTCCTCAGTTTGATTTCGATATGCACTTAAACTTCCAGTGCCAGTTTGTTTAGATTAACTTGGACGTCTGCACATATGACATAATGGAAATATAATGGCCTTATTTTGTTATAACGGTATTAGCATGCTATGATTTCCATATCATGATGAAATTTATATATCTCTTCCAGTTGAACAAACATTTCTGCATAATAACCTGAATGTACTGGCATCTAGCAACTCGCACGTAGAAAAGCAATCATGCCCTTTTTGAGCACTCTTGTAGTTAAGCATGTGCATGTTCTGCGTCCGCAGCTATTAATATAAATAGTTGTATCATTGTCACCTTCTTGTTAGTTGATGTATTTTTTAATGAATTCAGGTTCGCGGTTCCTAGTCAGATAACCATAGTATACCTAGTTGTATCATTTCTACCCTCTTGTTAGTTGATGACTTTTTCGATGTATTCAGGTTCATGGTTCTGAATCAGATATCGATGCATTATGTGTTGGCCCGTTCTTTGCCACTATGGCAGTAAGCTTGTTTTGTTACCCCATTTATGAATTGTTTGTTTTATCCATTGTAGTTTAAATGACACTAATACCATTTAAAATATAATCATACAGGAAGATTTTTTTATTGTTCTGCGCAACATGCTTAAAAGCAGACCAGAAATATCGGAGATTCACTGTGTGAAAGATGCCAAAGTTCCTTTGATGCGGTTTAAATTTGATGGTATCTCAGTTGATCTCCCATATGCCCAGCTTAAAGTATTATCTGTTCCACATGTAAGTGCAAAACTATGTTATGTCTCAAAAACATTTTAGAATTTATAATGCATAGCTGCTTTGTCATTTTTATGTCAATAATTCCATAAAATTATTTTTTTTTCTGAGTTGTTTTCTCTCAAGGCACTTTTGTGTTTTAAATATTGAGTATCCACACATGCTGAAGGTATGAAATGGCATTGTGGATATTGAACTACTGATTATATATACCATATTTTTTTACTATTTATTAACGTGTGGAATATCAACTCCTTGAGTTAATGAATTGCAGAATGTTGATGTCCTCAATCCATTTTTCTTGAGGAACATTGATGAAACAAGTTGGAAAAGCTTGTCCGGAGTACGTGCAAACAAACACATCCTTCAGCTGGTTCCGGATTTGGAGGTTGGTGTCGATTATGTTCTAGCTTATCAGCATTTGTTTCTATTCTCTCTTCCTTTTTCTATTCTAAGATATTGTTCTAGCTTACCAAGTGAACTATAAAATCTCATGGCTGCTACATTACATGTCTCTTAGAATTGTGAATCCTTTAAATGGAAATTGGAAGGATGATCTTCAATATTATTTGCAAGATGCGTGAATGTGGTATAGAATACCTGCAACATGGTAGTTGATACTCTATAAACATAATGTTTAAATGATCATTTATGTGTTCTCAATGCAAATATTTAGGGAATAATTTCTAGTTGCTACCTCCTTTCACGTATATTTCTTCATAGTTTTTGTCTGGCATTCTCATATTATCTGAAATGGCCTAGCTACTGGACAAACTTGAGTGTAGTTTGTGCTGGATTTTTCTGTGGGTACATTATACTATAATATCCTGTGGGTTTCAGTAGGTTTGTGTTCAAAAGCAACAGGCTCAACTCATTAATGGATGCAGGGTAAATTCCTCACAGGGGAGTTACTTTTTGTGTTGAGGCAATCAGGATAACAATTTTTTTACTAGTATGTAACATTTTCTTTCGCTAATAGGATATAATGTGTTCCAGAAATTCCAGTCTATGCTTCGATGTGTGAAACTATGGGCAAAAAGACGAGGAGTGTATGGCAATGTAAGTGCAACATCGTCTTGTCTTTTCCGAAAGCACATATCATGCTGTTATTTCATTTTGTTTAGTGCTTATGCATGATTGTTTGTTTCATATTCATACAAGTTATGACCAAATATTGAGTCAGTCTTGTTCTTACTTGACAGCTAAATGGATTTCTTGGAGGAGTACATTTGGCGATTCTTGCAGCTTTTGTATGTCAAAGTGATCCAAGTGCCTGTTTGAGTGCTCTGATAGCAAACTTCTTTAGCACATTTGCATTTTGGCGATGGCCAACTCCGGTCATGCTGCAAGATGGAATGCTGCCAGTTTGTATCTTCCCCCCTGAAACAAGGTCATTAATGCCTATTCGGTTGCCATGTTGCCCATACGAATTCTGCCATTCCAATATTACTAGAAGCACATTCTACAAAATCAGAGCAGAATTTCTTCGAGGTCAAGATTTGGTTAAGGTAAGCTAAGTATATTAATGAAAATCATGATTGTTCTTTTGTAATCAAAATCATGTATTCCTGTTTTCCTGCTTTCCAACAAAATTTTGAACCTTATATGTTGATGTTTGGAAAGTGATTTATGGTTCATGTTCCAAGCGTCCGGTCCTGCCCCCTTTTCCCCCACTGTTCTCTGATTGAGAAGCTTTAATGTCCCAAAAAATCAAACAGTATTTAGATCAAAAGAGAGGCAGAGAAAGGTTTAGATTTTATGAAGTCAATTGTCATTATATATATCTGTAAGTTTTGGAATTCTTTGTTCCAAAACTATTATTATGGAGTCCTAATTCATATATTTTGGAATTGCAGGATCGTTTGACCCCCGACTTCAACTGGCAGAACATCTTCACTCCCTTTCCATACTCAAAAGTGTACGCACGTTTTCTCAAAATTTACCTTTCCGCTTCCAGTCAAGACGAGCTGGGAGACTGGGTGGGTTGGGTGAAGTCACGCTTTCGCTGTCTTCTGGTGAAGGTACGGACATATTTTTGTTTTAGCTAATAGGGCAGTGCAAAGCAAATGGGTTGAATTGGCGGCGGCTAAGGATACACATTATTTAATGTATCAAACCTACTGCCATGGCGATTGGAATTCAGGAGAACCCAAAAGTCTTTTAACCTTACTGTGCAATAAGAGACTAGTTTTCCCCAGCTTTTTCTTTTAAAACAATACCGTTTAGTTAATCCTTGGCAACTAGAAAATTTGTGTTGTTCTGGTGCATTTATCCTTGTATAAATGTTTTACTTACAGCTGGAGGAAGCACACGGTCTCTGTGATCCTAACCCTACAGAATACATTGACATGGATGTAAAAGAGCCAAACGTTGTCTTCTACTGGGGCTTGCAGAATACAGATGACAACAAGGCTTGTTTCACAGACATAGAGTCTGTTGAGGTGGACTTCATGAAGAACATCAACACTGGGTACGTAGGTTCTTTTGGGGGGCTGGAATTGTCAATCGTCCAAGCTTCCCAACTTCCCAAGCATGCTGCTGGCTTCGACACTGCGAGTAGGAAAGGAACAAGAGCTTGTTGGAAGATTATCGACTACAATCGACAAAGAATGCCAATCTACTCGCAGCATCTTCGTCAATATGTTATTGGGTATGTGGCAACTAATGGAAAACAGTACTGATACAATATAATCCTTCAAGTGGTGGGGAATAAATTTGCATATATCTCCAAATCTTTTATGGGGGATTGATTTTGGTTGTCCCCTTTTTTTTTTTTTTTTTTGTTTTTTGTTTTTAGTTTTTATTCCTTTCAATTTCCATTGTCTTTTCATTCTGGGAATTTAGTTTTAGTCAAATTCTGTGTTAGGTTGTTTTCCATTATGTAGTGAACAGAAGAGATCATGAAAGCTTGGAGAGAAAAAAAAAAGAAAAAAAAAAAGCAAGCCAGGATGAGATTTAGAATTTGATTTGTGAAATTCTTGCAACTACAAACCTCAAGAGTTGTGTAATTTAACTTTTGAAGCGTGAATTTCATAGGGAACTTATAGATTTCAAATCATATTTTCATTTATCTACTGTTATTTTTACTTGAAACTGTAAGAAAATATGAATTAGATTCGAATAATCGAAAATGTATGTTATGAGTTGAATGCTACTGCACCAGTTGATTTTTACGGCTCGATTTCAGGTTTCATGTAATATGTTCATCTCTTAGCTCCAAAAAGATTTTTTGTTTAAAGTACATTATATATATATATATATGTATATATATATAATGCCTGTGATTCTAAGAGAAGTTGTTAAAAAAGAAGTAATCATATATTAATCCAAGAAATCTCCAGCACTGACAGCATGAATATAAAATTCTCAGGGTTTTAAAAATTTAAAATTTTCTCACCATGAATAAAAGGAACAGCAGAAGAAGATTCAACTCTTCAACTGACTAATAATACTGGCTGCCACCAGGGAGAGATCATGAACTACTTCACTCCGACTGCTAAACGGCGACTTTCGAGGCATCGGCGTCAAGGTGAACTGCTCTTCGCACACATTCGCATTATTCGCCACAGCCTTTGCTTCGTCTCCTGCCACGGCGTACTCGTGCGATTTGTTCAGAGCTTCGATGGCCGCCGGCAGATGCCTCGTCACCGCCGCGCCGTACTCTTCAACGCAAGTCCCGTAGTACTGGTACAGAAGTGGATCTCTCACGTTCTTGAAAAGCTCCAGAGCGTACGTAAACGTCTCGTTCGATTTCTTCGTGACTAAGTCCAGGGATATTCCTGCGAGGCCGTTTACGTCGGCGGTTGAGCTCCGAGGATCTGATTGAAGAGACTTCATGCAAAGTTGGTAGAAGTTTGTTTTCTTGCAGACTTGAGTTATCAAGTCGACGCCGTTTTGAGGACGTTCGACAGAGAGTGCTGCTACCGATTGGAGGATTAGTAAGGGAAGTAGGAGATGCCGAAGAGAAATGTTCTTCGTCTCCATCATTTTGTACAATTGGAGATTACCAGAGGAAGAGAAAGAGGAAGAGGAAGAGGGAGGCAAAATGCGATGACTCTTTTTTTTAAAAAAATAAAATTAGGTTTTCATATTTATTAATTTTCCGTTACGAAAAAAATTAAATTTATTTCCTATTTTAAATTAAATCAAATCTCCTGTAATTAATTCCAGGATTCGGCGTTTATTATTATTTAAAGAAATTAATTAATTTTTAAGAAATATTATTACTTCATATATAAAATTCTTTGATTCTATTTATTATTTTACACGATATCATAACTATATATTTCCTTTTAACTTAAAAAAAAAAACAATTTAACTTTATTTAAAAATTATGACGTCATAAAAAAAGGTACAACGGTATAAAACAGAGAGCAATCGTGTAAAGCTTTACAATTCCCGATTGAGCGAAGATGAAGATGAAGACGAAGTTGCTCGTCTCTCTCCAAATATTCTCGTTGATTGTTTCTTCTCCAAACGTTGATTCTTCGTCTCTTCTGCCGTTGATAGATTCGACCTGCAAGCAAACACCATTCTACGACCTGTGTGTGTCTAATCTTCAATCGGATCCGAGAAGCTCCACCGCCGACACGAACGGCCTAGGCGTCGTAGTCGTCGGTAAAATCGAAGCTAAGTCCGCCGAGACACTAAACGCCATTAACGGATTGATCAAGCAGAAACCGGAGCTGAGTCAAGCTCTGAACTCGTGCGCTGGAAAGTACAACGCCATCATCAAAGGCGATGTGCCTCAGGCTACCGAAGCGTTTCAGAAAAACGATCCGAAATTCGCAGAAGACGCCGCCAATGATGCTGCAAACGAAGCTGATTCCTGCGAGAAGTTGTTTAGTGGCCGTTCGCCTATTACCAGTTCCAATACTCTCGTGAATCAGCTCTCTCTTGTGGCTGCCGCCATTGCTAAGTTGTTGCTTTGATTCTAGTGCCTTCCTCTCTCCTCGGTTTGTGTACAACTATTTCTTTTTCAATAAATATTTTTTTTAGTTAGAATATTTATTTTCATAATGTAATAAAAAATAAGTAACAACTTGTCTTAAAATAGTAAAATATTTATTTAATTGAAATTCATTCAATTAACCTCTTAAAATAGTAAAATTAATAAATATTGTAAATATTTTTTATTTTTTAAAAATATATTTTTAATAATTTAATAATTAAAATTTTTATATTTTACTTAAAATTCATAAATTTAAATTTTATCAAATATTTATAATTTACTGTAAATATATAATATTTAATTTAATAAAAATAAATTTATCTAATAAAATTAAATAAATATTGGGTTTGATTTATTATAATTATTTTAATTAAAAATAAATTTTAACTATTATAAAATTATTTAAAATTATTTTTTTATCAATTATAATAATATTTATATTCCGCCTTAGCTTCCTCGTTCGAGGTATTTATAAGCCAAGGAGAAACTCCCACCATATCCACTCACCTTTAAATCACTGTTTCTTTGCTATCGGCTTCTCGACATCCGACTGGGTAATTTCCCTGGCACTTGTTCTTCGTCGTTTCATATAATTTTTTTCTGAAATTATAATACTTGCTGCTTTTAGTTGGGAATTTTTTCTGTGTGGGTTTTGGGTATTTCATTTTTATGTTGGTATGAGCCGTATCGTTTTGGCATCAGTTGCGACTATCTTTTTACTAAGATCTTGATAGGGTAATTGATTCCAGTTTGGGGATATGAGAAATTTTCCAATTTCACTGGTTTAAATCTGATGAATAAGTTCGTTTTCGGAATGGATGGGAAATGGGTATATATCTGTTTTAAGTCCATTCTTTGATTTTAGTTTCAATTTGCTGACCGTATTTGCTGAACTGGGTTACTGAATATATATATATATATATGTTTATAATTTTAGTTTACTCTCTATTTTCTGCTGATTTAGTTTCGGTGTAAGCAGTTCCATCTTTCTTGTTCTGGGTATATAGTGTGCTTGCATATAATGGTTGTGTGGTTGAATCTGGTAGTAGGTATTGGATTTCCAGCTTATGGTTGGTTTACAAATATACTTTTTTTGGTGTATGATTTACTGACTTTTGTTTGCCAATTTTTATTAGTTCCACATTTTGCCCATTTCCAATTCGTATTATCTTTCAGTCAATACTGATTTCTTGCTTCGATCATCAATTTTTTACTCGTTACATGGGTCACATTGCGGAACAAGTGTCTAATATCTTATGTATATAGATGAATGCAAATAATCATAGGTACTTAACCCCACCTTAATTGGATACTACAATTTTTTTTTCGAAATGATCCAGAATCGAACTGTGAATGAGCTAATTAGACATTTCTGGGTTTTTTTCTGATTGAAGTGTTCTTCACAGTCATGCTAATATCTTTAGCCCTTTTAAAATGTGTCTACTTATAAACTTTTGTCTGATTTTTCAGAATGGTTTGGTTTTATTTACTGGCAGGGGCTAATGGAGGAATATATGCATTTACGTTGAGATATGAGCAATAACAAATTTTAGGGTGAACAAGTGCATTTAGGAGCTTTAGCATAAAAAGGTTTTGACTTGTTGCTCATAATCAATTATTCAAATCGGGAAACAGAGTACTCTTATTCCATGGATTCTTTATTCTCTCCCTCTTCTCTTTTATTTCCATTGCCTTCACGTTCCTTGCCATATTTTCCATTACGATATCAGCATCTTTCATTTGATCAGCCACATCATCATGATGGCATTTTTGTCTCTCACCGGTTTATTTCATTTCCTGTGAACTCGTACCATACCTTACATATTACCCGGCCTTCTCTTAGTGCTGCAATTCCATCAAATGAGGGGGCTGTGTCTGTAATCAACTTTGAAGACTTCATTGAAAAAGATTGGTCGTTTCTTGATGCAAATGATTTAAACTCCGAGGAACATAGGCAAAAAACTGACCGCATCATAAAATCAGGAAAAATTGAAGAGACTTCCAGGATTTTGGTTTCAATTGGTTCTGAAGGATTTGTGGATCAGTTGGTTGACTCATCACCCTGCCAACTGTTGCTTGTCGTTCATGACTCCCTATTCCTGTTAGCTGGTATTAAGGAGAAGTATGACAAGGTTAAGTGCTGGCAAGGAGAACTCATATATGTGCCCGAAAAGTGGGCACCTTTTGATGTTGTATTTCTCTATTTCCTGCCTGCTTTGCCCTTCAAACTTGATCAGGTTTTTGCGACACTGGTTAAGCATTGTTCGCCAGGTAACTTTTCTAGGCAGTAAAGAAACACTTCCTTATTTTTTCGGGTTGAATAGTTGATCTAATTCAGTACTTTAAGGCCTAAGTATGTGTCATCGGCTTAAAAACTGAATCCTCAAGATATTCTATGCCCCTTTTGGTTCATTTTCCACTCAACTTGTAATAATTTTTAGTTCAAAATATCATATTATTCTGATATGTATAATCACAACATAAAGTTTCATGGTTGAGCACTCACGAAATTTCATTTCTTGCTTGAACGAACTGAAACTGACCTTAGTACAACGGGGATTTCCGTTCTTGAGACTCCTTTCTAAGTTTTAACTTCCTTTTTGGCTGGAAGATATTAAATTTAACTCGGTAATATAGACTCTTGTACTTCTTTATTTGATATCAAGTAGCTTTAAACTATTAGAAATGTTGTGGATTGTAAAATCCCTTGGTAAAAAAAAATTGTTTTTACTTCTCAAACTTCAGTTTTCTGAGAAATGTTTGTACAGGTGCAAGATTGGTTATCAGCCATTCTGAAGGAAGAGAAGCCTTGGAGCAGCAACGCAAACAGTTTCCGGACGTGGTTGTCTCCGACTTGCCTGACAAGAAAAGTCTAGAGAACGTGGGTGCGAATCATTCGTTTGAGGTAATCGAATTTGTTGATGAACCCTTGTTTTATCTAGCTGTTTTGAAGTTTTCCGGGGCGAAAGACATCTCAAGTTAGGTTTAGATCGCTTCAAACTTTTGTAATGGATTTAACTTTCTGTGTATCAAATTTTACATCTTCAAATCATTTTCAGATTATTAAAAATACGTAGTTTGGATAACATATACGATTTAAATTCAAATCTTACCTAAGACACTGAATTTTTTTTCTTTCTTTTTTTTTTAAAAGGAAGAATTTGAAGAACACAAAGAGGATCACATGTTAGTGCAAAGTGGTTGGTACAGGGGAGTCCCAATTTGTTGTGTAGTAGAATCTAGAAAGACCCAAAATCACCGGCCTATTCACCAACACACAGTAATATAATTCCTCAAATAAAGTTTGACAAAAAACGTGATGTCAGCATCTACGTAATCGTTCGACTCCTTATCAAAACACTCACGAGCTTCCCTTCTATTTTATACCCAAAAATACCAGGTCGAATTTAATTATTATAAATATTTTTTTTTATTTTAATATATTATAATTTATTAAAATAGAATTTAATTTAATTAATATATAAATTAATAATTTTGATTAAATTAAATATTATAAGTTTTCTTAATTATTATTATTTTAATGAGAGTTTTGTCGTTATTTATTTATTTATTATTAAGTCTTTGAAAAACTTGTACGTGAGAAGCCACTACTTTCTCTCTTACAACTCCAAACCTCAACTCTCTCTTCATCCTCTCCCCTGCAACCATGAAAACCCAATTCGCCTTCTCTCCCCGAACAATCTTCCTACTTCACCTCACTCTCCTCTTAACCTCTCCATCTCCATCCCGCTGCACCGACCTAATCGATCAAACCTGCAAAATGACGCCGTTTTACGACCTCTGCGAGTCCTCTCTCAGATCAGGAGCTCAGATTGCGGCGACGGACATGAAAGCTCTGGCGACAATCATGGCGAACGTGGTGTTAGGGAACACGACCGACACTCTCAATTACATCGAAGGACTAATCAAGCAGAGCAGAGATCCGGACATGGAGCATGCGCTGGCTAATTGCGCCGAGCTGTATATCCCGGTTGTTAAGTACAATATACCGCAAGCCATTGAAGCGTTGGGTAAAGGCGAGTACGGATTTGCTAACTACGCCATATCGGATGCCGCGAAGGAGGCGGATGCGTGTGAGAAGGGATTCTCTGGTTCGATGGAATCGCCACTGACGGAGAGGAATAAGCTGGTGAGGAATCTGTGTGATGTGGCTGTTGCTATTTTGAAACTGGCGTCCAAAGGTGGTTGATGATCAAACAATTATCTGCTGCTTTCTGGTTTTAATAAGGTATATCTATTTGGTGTATTATATATATATATATATAATTATTTTATAGAGTGAAAATATGTATTTTGTTATAATTATAATAAAAAATTAATGTAAATTATTAAATTAATTTTTAATATTTAATCATTTTATTAAATTTTTTAAAAAATTATTTTTTCATATTCAAAAATTTTTAAAAAAATATTAAATGTTCGAATTTCTAATAACTTTTACCATACTTACACTTGAATTTAATAATTTTCTATTTATTATTAAAAATATATAGTATTTATTTTAATACAAATTAAAAATGAAACTAATATATATATATATATTGAGCTAACAACTTTTTACGGGGGATGACATGATTCAGACACAATTATGAGAAGAAAATTGGTATTTAGACCACATAATTTAGACCACAGAATCGGCATCTCCATTTTCCAGTGTTCTTATTTTGTTTGGTGTGTGGACTGTGAAATTCTCAAATACACAAACAAATATAAGCTGAGACAAAAAAAAAAAAAAGAAAGATGGGAATCCACATTTACTTCGTACCGAAAAAATCTAGTTGTTATCGATTTTTAACATTTGAAAAAAAATATATATTATCATTATCTCTTTCGTATTGAGTTAAACTGTAAACAGACTTGAATTTTAGGGTGTGAAAATTATCTGATTTAAAAAAAAGAAAACGAGAAGGCATCAACAATTAAAGATTGTAGACAAAAAAACAATCATCTTATCTTATTCTTTTATGCACTAAAATTAGTATAAATGTCGGTATCGGTAAAAATTACGACGAATTTCGTATCTTCGGTGATGTAAATTGTGAATAAATTTGTAGGACCCATTTAATTTCAATTTTAGAAGTGCCTAAATTTCATTTCAAAATTTTTAATTTAGTAAATCTACTCTATCAACCAACAGAGTGGTGGCACATAATTTAACAATGGGCCATTCCCACTTCAAAAACCAGTCAAGTCTGGCTTTGAATTCATGAAAAGAATAACATCTTTAGAATTAAATCACACCAGACTGTGTTAATTTAACTTTTTAAAGATGGGTTTAATCCATTACATCATCTGTGAGTTTGGAGTTTAGAGTTTGGAGTTTGGAACTATATTATATATATATATATATATGAATATTGTATAATCAAGCGTTACACCCACAAGATGGCCAAAATAGTTGACAAGAAGGCAACTAAATTACTAAAATACCCCTCGGGTGTTAAATTTAAGTCAACCCCCCTCCCCCTACAAAACGGAGAGAAATTATGCAAGAAACTCCAAAGCCAACAGAGGCCGAGTATGAAAAAACAGCTTTGCTTAGAATTCCAATCTGCTGTTAGTTCATCTCATCCTGCACCTATTACCAGCTTTTCTCCAGGATCCATACCAGATGTCTGCTGTAATAAACTGCAAAAGTGCCATAAGAACAATATGGGTTTGAGGTTATGTACTTATATATGTTTTGTATGCATGTATGTACTTGTGTGCTGAGACTAAAATGAAGAATGAAATAAGGTCTTTCAGCTCAATAAGAGAGGTATCATACTTTGGGAAACCAGAACCGGGTGCATTAGGCTCGCTCATGGATGGATTCCCAACGTACTGAACCGAAATCAAACCATTGTCTGCTCTTCCTGCCGGAACCGCAGAGCCTTGGAAGCTTTTAGGCGCTTTGTTTGATGACATGCCTGCAAAGACACATGAGAGAACAAAGATCGGTTAAAAAATAAAAAAGTTCCATCCTAAACACTGCCCGCATGAATTGAGCTCAATCAAACAACTCTTATCAACACATCAAATGATGTTCCGGGTTGAGAAAATTGTTCAAGAACAATTTGTATCCTTATCGTTGAACATGTCTTTTTAAATTCTACTTTTACATAGCTTGAGCATAATGCTTCGTGGATTCATTAGGGCTCGGAAGAAAATAAAGGGAATCAAATGAGAATTCACAACATCAACTCCCTCAGTACGATTTCAACAAATTAGCTTCTAATTTCTTGGCCTCTTGCCAAACAAGAAACCAGTAAGATGCCTTACGCGGAAAAGAAGGTAGGAGAGGTGACCCCGAAAGGTAAAAGAGCACAGGAAGAGATGCAATTTAAGTATAAAAAGGGCCAAAAACTTTTGAAGTATGCTATAAAAGAGTGACATAAAAAAAGGGTAACGTCTGAAGCAAACAGAATTAGCGGATAAGGAATTCAATTATGTAATATGTTCTCCATTCTCACTTGCAAATGGAAGGAAAACACACGAATTTTCTGAATGAATGGCTTTTGAAAGAATCAAACTTGAGAAAAAGCAGCAACTATCAGAGGAACATAGTAGACTAAGATAGAAAAAAGCGACTGCATCAGATAATTGGGGGAAACATCTCAAAAACCATATCCAGATATCCTGAACATGACTCTCCAAAAACATGAACTAATACAAAAAGTAACAAAAGAAGGGATTTGTGCTAAGCCATTCATTTGGTCCAGGTACAAATTAAAGATCCAAAAATAAGTGACTACTAACAGGGGTTTGGCTAAGAAAATTGTAAATTCAGTTGGAAATATTACCTTGGAAAATTATCACAAGACAGAAGAGAATGGTGAATAAGATGGCAAATAGATTCCCGTTTGACGATGATGATGCCTTTGCTGCTTTCATCTTCTTCAAGGCTTTCATTCGCTCAATCCTAGCCCGCTTCAACATGGCAAGTTCAGCTATCTCTCGGATTAGTTTCTGGTCTGCTGCATCCAAAGATGGTCCTCTCGGAGGTCTAGGAGGTTTTGGAGCCTTTTTATTGCTAGATTTTTTATGCTTATCCTTCTCTACACTCTTATATACATCATTCTTAGCTTCTCCCCCTTCCAACTTCCTGTTTGTAGGTGAATTGACATTCTGCCCTGAAACTCCAGCAGGATTAGAGACATTACAACATAAACCTACCCTGTCTTCGCTAACCGTCCCCCCTTTTTCAAGATCAACCTCAAAATCTCTCTCTCTCGGAGCTATATGGACCATTGTAAAAGACTACCAATTCCAATCTTACCGTCTATCTTAAGCTAAACCCCAAAATTAAAGACCCGATTTCTCAACACCAGTAAAAAAAAATATTTAAGCCGCTGATATCAGCCCGTTGCACCAACATCACCACTTTGCGAGTCAATCTGATTAGCGAGTTAAAGGCAAAAACTGGCACTGAAAACATCCCAACTTCAACTATTCCAAATCATCTGGCTTTTACAGTTGCCAACATGCCAAACTTGTATTATGCCTCCGAGGAATATACTTTTTCTAGCTAGAACCAACTAATGCCAATCCTCTAAAGTAATAATCCAAATATATACATGTATACAGCCCTGCATTGATTAACAAAAAAGAAAAGAATAGAAATCAATCACAAGAAAGGTCCCAGTAAATCCCATGGAAAGCTTGAAAATAAAGCAAGTAAGGACAATTTATAGCATCAAAAAGGTAGGAGTTGGGTAATATTCAATCAAACCCACGAGACTAAAACGACAACCAAGCGAATCACTAGCATACTCACAACCTAAACAACAAAGGAAATTATTATAAAAAGGGAAAGTAAAATTACCTTGAGGAGAAAGCGAAGCAAAAAACCAGATCCGATGCGGGTCAAACTAAGAGCAAAGAAAGGAAGATTAGGAAACGAAAATGGCAAGTCCCTGGTACACGCGTAAAATCGAAAAGGGTAGGTGTTTATAAGTGCGGGTTTTTGGAGAAAAAGATGGATAGATGGGGGGGAGAAAAGCCGGGAAAGTACCGGATAAAGGAGTAGATGATTACTGGGATTTCTTTTTCTTTTTCAAAAGATTTAATAAGATAAACTCCACCTCTCCCTCTCTCCCACTTGTTGAATCTGTAAGAAGAAGGATCAGGGGGGTGTAAGAGTGTTTGATATGCGTGTTGATTGTGTCGCGGCGTCATATAAATACAACGGGAAATAAGCATGTGATAGAGGAGATCAAACGAAACTTCATTCACCGACACGACAAGGCGGATGGATGGTTTCTTATTTGCTAAATGATCCCTGTATTTCTTTCCCTTTCAATTTTTACCCCCAATACTTTTCTCATTCTATGATTTTTGACATTACCCTCATTTTTTTTTTGTCACTTTCGTACAATATTAATTATTAAGGAACAATATAATATATATATATATATGTGTGTGTAATACATCAAATGTTGTCCTTAAATTTTAGGGTAATATTTAAGAGAAATGTAGGATAAATACAACCCATAAGATCATAAATATCCAATAAAATCTTGAATTTAATTTTTTAAAAAATAATAATAATATTAATTGAAATTGAAAAAATAATTTAATTGAAGACGATTATTGCCTTGTAGGTAGGAAATTATTTAGAACCCACACCCATTTAATAGTTTTAAATTATTTGTTAGCCCCATAACCCACTTGGTGATAGAGATTGTGTGTATACATATATATATATATGTATGTATGTATATATATATATATAACTAAAGTATTTTTTAATTAAGAATGTAGATTTTGGTAGTTATTAATCTACATGTTCAAATTATACAGTTAACCAATTTGTGATTAGTTTCAAGACTTTTCAAAAGAGCATAGACATGTATCATGTATATATATATATATATATAAATATTTATAATTTTTCGACTATATCTTGCTCTTGAAAAAATTTATAGAATTAAAAGGTAAAATCATATTCAACTATTTAAGTTCATTATTTCATACAATTATATAATATTGTGTGTTTCAAAATTACGTGCATGTATTAAACAATACACGACCAATTATTCTTAAAGGTCATATAATACTATTTATAAATTAATATATTTTTTCATATAAATATTAAATACGGGTAAAATATAACAAACAAATAATAATTATACATCAATATTATTACTGTACAATATAAAAAAAAGATATTGTGAATAAACAAAATACAAATCCATGTGGCAAGTGTCAGGTGGTCGTACTGCTGCATGCATGCAAGAAAAGTGATGTGTGTGAATTATGAAATGAAACAGAAGAGAGAATCGTGGGGGCAGCATCTCACATTACGTTTGTTACTTAACTTCTAACCAACATTTAATGCATAATTTGGACTGTTATTTTCTGCCTCGTGCTGTCTCGAAAATTATATTAAATCAATTATTGATATTAATAATTACGAATTAAATTATTACATGAATTTCTGAAACTTTACATTTGCTATGATTTATTTATTTATTCATAGTATTTTCTTGTTTCAGTTCATTTTTTAACCCCAAGAAAAAAATTTTAATGGTTGGATTATTTAAAAAAAAAACACAAAAAAATAAGTTTAATTAATAAAAATTAATTTTTAAATTATTATTTTTTAAAATGTTCAAATATAATTAATAATTACGAATAAAAAAATATATTGCACTAAATAGTAAGAACCAACTGAATTTTTAAAATTAATTTAGTGATTTATTATAATAAGTACTTATTACATGATCTGTGCATTTTTTTAATTATCATATTAGCATTTTAATTATCAAATAATTTAAGATAAATAATCATGTTTGTTATTAATTAACGGCCAAAAATTGAGGGGGGCATATTTAAAAATAAGAGGGGTGGAATGAGATCCGACTCGTGCAGTAGAGAGAGTCAAGGTCTGGGCCCGTCCTACCATTTCCTGGGCACTTAGGACTCGACCTGGGAGATGGACACGACCACGTGGGCTTGGATTTTTTAAAATCCACCATGCCCTGTGTGCCGCAATTATAGGTGGTCCTCACCTCCAATAATGTCCTATTTTTATTTCCCAATTTTAATTTATACGATGTTATACACTGCAGGTAATTACTGCGGGAGTCATATAATAATTATTTTAAGAGATGGAAAATCATTTTGATATATATATATATATTCTTCAGATCGCAATTAATGATGGAAAATAACCATATAAAATAACTTCGTACCCTAGAAATATATTTAGTTTAATTATGACATTAAAGTTATGAAGAGAAAAAAAAAAAAAAAAAGACATGTCATTCTATAGACGCATTAAAATAATAAATTATAAAATAACAAAAAATTAAATTAGGATACAATGTTATTAAAAATATGCTGAAATTAAATTGAATTATAATAAAATTAAATTATACGAGATGAAATTATAATTTATTAAAAATAAATTTATTGTCAGGTTTAATAATTTTAATGGAGAAATGTATTAAAATGGTGTGTTCGAAATAACGTAATCTCTGGAGCTTTATTTACCTGATCCTCTGTAAAGGTTCGCAATCAGAGTCCTATCGAGTCTTGTTTTTTGCTCCACTAGAAATTTCGGGATAATATCTTTATCTTATTCTAATTGGATATTTTGTTGGCTGTGAGATGGTGATTAAAAAAAAAAAAAAAAACCCAATCAAGACAAAGACAGAGACCTATGGGGAGTCCTTCCCGTTGATGAGAAGGGGGGAGGTGAAGAGAGGCCAAAATACCTCCGGCTCTTATCTCAACCTATAAATGGACATAAACAAATGTCTTATTCATGAACCTAGAACAATTAATCAGACTTCTCTCGATAAAACTAAAATTTGAAAATAGCTGCACCGCTCGAGGGCTTCGAAGCAAAAACGTAGAGCCCGAGATCATTCTTGTTGATCACACCTCTATCGATCCTTTTTTGGTAGAAGCGTTCCTGATGCAGAAACAATGTCAGTATCCC